TTTCTCTTATATATTATTTGGGGAGTGATGGCAGAAGCATCAAGCTTTGGTCCGAACCTTGGTTGTCTCTGGAAAGTCCGACGAGACCAATGGGACCTCGTCCACCTAACTCTGAACTGAAATTGGTGGCAGAACTTCTCTCAACATCATCGAACACTTGGAATTGGGATGTGATTCAAAACTCCCTCCCAGCTCACACCGAACAGATCAAGCTCCTTCCTGTTAGCTCCTCAAAACGTGAAGACTCCATGATCTGGCTTCCATCGAAAAAAGGAGAATATACTTCTAAAACAGGGTATGCACTAATGACGTTGGGGAATGCTAATCAGACCCATATTGATTTCAATTGGCAAACCAATGTCTGGAAACTTAAAACATCTCCAAAGATGAAACATCTCCTATGGAAGGCAGCAACAGGAGCCTTGCCGGTTGGGGAGCAACTACAACGACGTGGAATACAATCTGAAATCACATGTAAACGTTGCGGAGCCCCTGAAACAATCCTTCACGTGTTTCGTGATTGTGAATTTGCTAAACAAGTATGGGATGCATCCCCTCTGAGCAGAAACTTAAGCTCCCATGATGGCCCGATCCTTCAATTCATACAAGAAGTTGCCACCATCGGGGATCTCTGCAACTCACCTCCATCCATGGATATGCTGGTATTTATGGATTGCTAGGAACAATGAATTGTTTTCGGAAAACCGTTTCTCTCCACCCGAAGTACTACTCAAAGCGATAATTGAAGCAAAAGCTTGGCAAGCAGCTCAACATTACCTCGATAAATCGAGACATTATGAGAGTGAGCCTTTAAAATCCCCAAAACCAAATTATGGTTTTACGCTCTATACGGATGCAGCGTGGAACTCAACCTCCCTTGCTTGTGGACTAGGGTGGCACATAGAGCCAAATACAGTTTCAGATTTCTCTGTCTCAGGATCGACAAGATCCTCTGCCATGTCGGTCCTAGTTGCCGAAGCTCTTGCAGTGTTGACTGGTCTATCTTCCGACCTAGAACACGGTTGCTATGACGTGCATGTACGGTCGGACAATACTACTCTTGTCCACCTCCTCCGCTCCGATGATTCGCACAATGAGATTCACTTCCTTTTGTGTGACATACGAGCACTCTTTCCTTTGTTCAATTCCTTTTCTATAGGGTATATTCCACGAGTGGAAAATGTAACGGCTGATTCATTAGCCAAAGAGGCTCTTCATGCTTCGAACACTATTTGATTCTTATTGAATAAAAAAGTTGTGACCAAAAAAATAATAATTATTATTTGGGGAGTGATTTTTCAAAAGAAATCTTAGGTGTCTTATTCATATTCATTCTCCCAAAAAATATTATAAAATGACAACTTTTAAATGTGACATGGCAAAACTCTTTCAAATGTTTAGCCCACTAATGGTGTTTTTTTTTTAGCCTACTAATTATACACATGAAAATTAGAAAGAGCCCATTAATGATGTTTAAACTTTTAAACTATTTAGCCAAGCTTACTAATCAAACTATAAAATACCCACTAGGTATCTAGACTCCATTATATATAGTTTGTGATGATTAAGACAAACAATTTAATTTTTCCACATCTCATTTTTTCAGAATGGTTTTTCTCTAAAATTATGATGATATTGTATAGGAAAATAATTCTCTAAATATACATGGGAGTTTCCAATAAAGGTAGAAAACATTTCTTTTTCATTTGATGTAATTTCCATTTTGTGTATACATTATCTAAAGAATTTTGTTTATAAGGTTATACACATATCCTATCATGATTCAAATAATTTAATGAGTGAAATTAATATGTAAATCTTATGTTTTCTAATTAATATGTAAATCTTATATTTTCTAATTAATATGTAAATCTTATAAATTTTTTAATTATATCATATAATTAAAATCTTATATTCAAGTACTTTATGTTGTATAAAAATTTTATTAATTTTGTTTTTGCTTATGAAGAATTTTTCATATTAGTCTTTTAATAATATGACAATGACGAATTCAGTTTTTATTAAATGTGAAGAAAATGACTTTTAAAAAAAATGATCAAATAGGGGATTCAATATTTTATGAGAGAAATCTCAACTTTTTAGAGAAATTTCAAAAAATACCATTTTTTAAGGCCACTTTACAAAAATACCACACTTTTGAAATCTTTACAAAAATGCCACTTTTTCAAAATTATTTTTTCTTTATATTATTTATATTTGGGTTAATTATGTTCTATTGGGGTTTAGTTATGAGGGTTTAGGGGTCAAAACATCTTTTAGTTTTTAGAATTTTAAGTTATAGGGTTTAAAAATCTATAATTAGT